ATTTGAGTTACACATTTGGCTTGTGAAGAGCGTGTATATGGTTGTACATTTGTTGACTAATCAATTTCATCTCATCCATATATGTTTTAATCAATAAATACACTATTCATTAAAAAAAAAAATTATTATATTCTAACGAAAAATCCTATGATAATATATTACAATTGAAATTCCAACAGATATTCCAATGGTATAAGTTCCGTTGGAATGTGTTTTTTTTTTGGATTTTAGATGAAATTTGATATTTCTAACGGCTTTTTACCATATGAATTTCCATTGGAATTTTTATTTCCAACCTCCTTGAAAAATCTACCATTGGAATCGTCAAATCCAACGGAAATTCCAACGAAAACTCATTCAAACGGAATATTTTTGTTCGAATTTCCATAGGAATCCATTGAAAAATTCCAACGGAAATAATAGCATAGAAATATCCATTGGAATGTCGTTGGACAGTCTTGGAGGTCGCCTAGAACAGACACTAGACCTAGAAAACACAGGACTCCAAAACACTCAACAGGAGAATAAAACAATCTCACACGGAAAAATACCAACCCCAACAAGAACACAACCAAACACAACAAAAACAAAAACACACAAACTACTACTAGAATAACACCCTCCCCGCCAGCCTAACAGCACACCGAACCTACACACTTTGACCGACAGCTAGGCAGCAAACAGAAGAGACCCATCCCACAACCCAAACACAAGGGTCGATAAACTCCCCTTACAACTGACTCGACTCGAGAACTGAACCTCCCTTGAAAGTTCATCACCTCAGACATCATCCAGAGACCGGGACTAATGCCCTCTCTGCCACATCAACTAGTTATCGTAGCCCTAAGACCACTGTCGCCGGAAGGAACGAAATTGGGAGCTTGAGATCCAACCTCAAGCCGCCAGCCAAAAGCAACCGCCGATTCAGACCGCGCGCACCACCCATGAGCCAGTTGACAACCAACTACTACCACCATAGCATTCATACGCCAAAAGAAGACGAGGCGGCGTGGGAAATTGCTGCCTTACCAAGAGTACGGTCTGACCAGAGCCGACCAAATGCCAACCAGCGCCACAGGAAAGGCACGCCTGCCCGGCCCACCATATTATGATTAGGGCAACTAAGAACCGTGGCTTTTTTAATTAGAGAGAGATATTTTTTGAATAGAGATAAGTGTGTAAGAAACTGGGGGAAAAACGATGTGGTCCCACTGACATGAAGCGCACCATAAGCGGGAAAAACCCATATGAAGCCCAAGTAGGGTTCCATCCCAAAACCAATTAGTGGAAGGAGGAGTAGCTCATTAGACTTATAAGGTGAGTCTATTTTCTATGTATGAACGATATGGGACAACTCACAAGTGATATTCTAACACGCCCCCTCACTTGTGAGTCCTTCGGAAGCCCAAGCTCAACTGGTGCCCCAAGCCTACTAAAAGTAGACTCTCATAAACGGGTACGTGGGGAAGCAGACTCCCATAAACGGATGCGAGAAGCCCAAGCCCAACTGGGTGCCCCAAGCCTACTAGAAGTAGACTCCCATAAACGGGTACGTAGGGAAGCAGACTCCCATAAACGGGTACGTGATCGCACGGTCCTAATAGAACCGGCTCTGATACCATGTAAGAAACTGGGGGAAATACGGGTGCGGTTCCACTAACATGAAGCGCACCAAAAGTGGGGAAAAGCCCATATGAAGCCCAAGTGAGGTTCCATCCCAAAACCAATTGCTTGGATACAAATATTTCAAAAAAATAAAATCAATCAGTTTTAATCAATCACTTTTTTGACTCAAATCTAACTCAACTTTAACTCAAACTCAATATCATCAATATTATCAATATAACTAGTACAGTACTCGTGCGATGCACGGATGCTTATTATTTCTGTGCTTTTTAAAAGGCAATTTTATATTCAAATTGTATGATAAAGGAATGATCATGACATTAATAAATATAATGAAAATGAAATCTATTTATTATTGTACATTTCATTAAGCACAAATAAGGATCTTCAGAATAATACATCTCGAATGCAATCAATTGGTCAACATATTGCCCCTCATACCGTACATGTCTTCATGTTTCTCCTTAATAACAATTTCAAATTATATGCAAATTAATATTTTTTATTGAATTAAATAAATATATATTGACCCAAAAAAAAAAAAAAAAAACTTACTCCAAATCCATGAGGGAGAACACAATCATTTGAGTTGGACCTCCCTTCACTTACTTTATTTGAATGGTTGAATGTCGATAACCAATCCAATTACATCTAAGAAGTGAAATCAAAAAGAAAAATTTATTATCATTTGAACTAATTTGAATAATTTTAGTCACGATTTACATTACCCAAATTGAACAAATTGACTTGCGGAATAAGATAGATTCATCAACATTATCAATGATAAACAAAATGAGAAAGCTCCTAAAGTCGAAACGACAGGTGGAAAAATCAGCAGTATACTTATAATTCTTAGTTTGATCATGAAGGATGATTCGACATTTGCCAATAGTTGACTTGTACAGATCAATGTTGCTCTCAGCTAGATAGTTGACTTGTACAGATCAATGAACGATCTTATATTGAAGTTTTGAAAAAGGTAAAAACGAAATCACAAATTTACCAATTCAAGTTTGTTATGCTAATTGAACTCTCTCTCTCTCTCTCTCTCTCTCTCTCTCTCTCTCTCTCTCTCTCTCTCTCTCTCACTAAGGAAAAATCCCTTAACCTAAAAAATCGGTGATCGGTTCGTCTCATCTCCTGCGTGGCTCTGCCGCCTGCAATTTCGTCCAGCTTTGGGCGACCCTGGTCAGGCTTTCTTTTCAAGGTGGGCTTCGACCTTCCTCTGCATCGATGAGTGGGTTTCTTTCGGCACGGTTGCCATGGGTTGCGGAAGTTTGAGGGAGTTGTCTTACCGGCGTTGAGTTAGGCTGGTGTCAGCACTGCTTTTCGGCCGTTGGTGTGAGGTCGGCGCTGCGGCCCTCACCGAATTCTTTTTTCCTGGTGCTGGAATAGGAGCCTGTCCGACGGGCGCGGATTTTTGGGTTGCGGCTGTTGGATGTTTAGTGGGGGAGGGCGGTGGCGCTGGTTTTCTGGGGTGGTCTGTGGTGTTGAATCTTGGGCTAGTTGTGGGTCTGACGGCTCAGGTCGAGCTAGTCGTAGGGTAGAGGGAGTTTCTCGATCTTGCTTGGGTCGTGGGCCGTGGAACTGCCCTTGTTTTAATTGCCTTAGGGTTGGTTCGAGTTGTGGAGATTTGGAGTTGGTTCCGCTAGTGAGGAGGGCTTTAGTTTAGTTCAATTTAGTAGCATGTGTTGTTTTTGTGTTTAGTTTGTGTGTTTGTGTTTGTTTTTTTGTTTGCTTTGGTGTTTGTATGTTTTTTCCTCTTGAGCGTTAGTATTCTCCGCTTGTTGGAGTAGTATTTTCCAATTTTGCTTGTTTTTTAGGTTACCGTCATTTCAACTTGTATGTCTCTCTGATTTCAGTCGTTGGTTGCGTCTCTCGATTAGTTGGCCGCTTGTAATTATGTGTTTATCATTATATTCTGCTGTTTGGAAAAAAAAAAAAAAA